TACAAAATGCACTGATGGCCTGCACTAACTGTGGTTAGCTGAGAATCTGAGAGTGCTGCCCTTATAAGTCGACAGCTTAATTACCCACAGGTGAGAGCAGGGACACGGTGGCTCCTCCCAGAGGTGGACCTGTCGGCTCTGTGGAAAAACACTGGCACTAACACAGACCATGGCTGGAGGAGGAAAGAAGGAAAGAAGTTCCACTGTTCCATGTTTAATTTATTAGGCTATGGGACAGATTTACAAAACAAGTTAAATTATTGTGTTATTATATGTGTTATTGATAGGTTTGTAGCTTAAACCTATTCGCTGGAACGTTCAAGACAATTCTACTACACAGCAAAAGCAAGACACGAGAAGGCAAAGTTCTTTATGTTTCTCGTGCACGGGAGAGAACTGGACGAACGCTTCACCCCAGTTGCTCTCGTTCGTTCCCCCGTAACACTGCTCTTTTATTTAGGTTACATGAATATACATAGGTTCATTAACATATGACGTATACATACACACAAAGAGCACCTTGCCTGCCCGTTGTGTAAGTGTGTGTGTGTGTGTGTGACTTCCCTAAACCTGCTGGTCTGGAAGTCCAGCAGTTCATCTAAACAAAAGGCACTTAGACTAAAACAGATATACGTGTGTTATAAAACAAACACTCTTAGTAGCAACTATCGCAGCCAGAACAGACATATGACATGACTTTTTTAGTGCTGTTTTTTTAAATTTGGTGTAAGTTGTATGGCATAGATTTTGTATTTCCCAATTGTATGACTCACTTAAATATATTTGTCCTGAAAGTAAAACACCTGCAAATACACGTCATCGTCATCAGGGTAACTGCAAAAATACTCTTGTTTAAAACGTTGTCACTGAAACAGAACCTCTTTAATGAATCCAGCAGCTTTATAGTATCAAAAGAAGACTTTGCACCGCTACAGATGTTAGCAAATCAGGCCTTCAATGTACCTTCTTTAAAATCTCAATCTTTTTAATGATGGGATATTTTTCACATGTTGTTCTCACTTATATGACTTACATAAACTAACAGGGTTTGAACATGTTGTGGTGAAGTAAGATGCACATTATGTAGTCTGTCTTCTTGTAGTTTTAACATGGCGCAACGCATCACGTAAGGGCGTTCGACTTCAGCACCACTCTTCTCTTTTCCTAACTCGTTATCAATTCTCCTTCGTACCTTTGTCTCCATTTAAACAATATGGAGGTCAAGGAAAAGAGGCTAGGAGATAAACAGATTGTCTTCCCCTAGCCCTTTGTCACACCATCCTGTTCCCCTCAGACTGTTTCCTGTGCGTCGTGGCCATTATGTTTCCTGCAGCTTCCCTAATTCCAATGTTTCCCTCGTGTTTCTCTGTTTGCTCATGGATTTGGGTCACCTTCAATAAAAAGATTTTCACGTAATCCCAGACTCTACATCTGGGGTCTTCGGTCTACATGAAATACAACACATTGGAGACATTCCTGTTTTTAAATGTGGTACATAAAAAAAGTGATTTGACTTGTCAGTAAAAATCGGAAACATGATCTGTTCCAATCAAAGCAGCCAAATGATCTGGGATTTTATGTGTTTCAACTTACATGGACAAAGATTAAAATACACTTTTTACTTGAAGTTACATTCTAAATATGCTATTTTTATTCAAAAAATCCTCAGAGATTTCATTTCTGTTCAATTTCAGCTTTAATAGTCACCTTTAACAATTAGAAACAGGGGTCAAAGGCATTTCAAGTTTATAAATGTAGCACAAAACTTTTATAAAGGGTTTAAAAAACATTTAAAAAGGTCCTAGAAATGGTTCAACATGGCCACTCTGTCTCATACTGCTTTACTTCTTACAGTGAAGCTGCTGTCTAAATCAGCACCTCCTCTGTTTACACATTTCTTCGTTTCCTCCCTTTTAACTCTCCAGTTTGAAGATAGGTGCAACCAAAATGTGGTGACGTGTAAGGGCTGACAGGCCCCATTCACATGTTGTTTCAATAAGAGCTCAGACTAGTTTCAGTTATAAGGAAAACAAACTCACACAGTCACTGACACTGAGAGGAGAAATGGCACAGAAAGGAGTTCAGCTGGACCAAGATCTGTTTGGATCTACTGAAGGATCCGGTTACTATTCCCTGTGGACACAGCTACTGCATGAACTGTATTAAAAGCTTCTGGGATG